ACGGATGTGCCGCTGAGGACACCAGGTTCCCGTTAATTAGGGTGGATTGTGATATCCTACATCGACCAACGGAGAGGGGGTGATATGCCTTATATGTACATACTCCCCTCCCTATAGTATGAGACCTTTTGGGAACTCACTGGCTTAGAATTCTGTAGGAACTCTGAAGTTAAGCGAGTTTAGGCGAGAGCTGTCCCAAGATGGGTGACCCACTGGAAAGTTCTTGTGCCGAGTTCCCAAGAACAAAATCGTGCAGGCTGGGCCCAAAGCTGACAATACCATGTTACGGCAGAGCAGGATTGAGATGTGACAAAACATGCCATAATTGATTCAGTCGAAATTGATATTGAGCCAAGGAAAAGTAAGAGAATCAAAGTAGCCAAGGACCTTGGTTTAGATTTTCATGCATATACTTTGGAAGAAGATCCAAGAACTCTCCAAGAAGCCCTGACTTCATTGGATTCAGACTTATGGCAAGAAGCCATGAATGATGAAATGGATTTTCTCGAATCAAATAAAACTTGGCACGTAGTAGATCTTCGTCTAGGGTGTAAGGCAATCGGTTGCAAATAGGTGCTAAAGAGAAAACTAAATGCTGATGGTATAGTGGATAAGTTTAAAGCCAGGTAAGTAGCTAAAGGTTTTATGCAAAAAGAGAATGTTGACTTGTTTGACACTTATTCACCAATCACTAGAATAGCATCAATTCGAGTTTTGTCTGGTTTAGCTGCCATTCATGATCTTGTTGTGCATCAAATGGATGTTAAAACTGCTTTCTTAAATAGGGACTTAGAAGAAGAGATACATATGGAACAACTTAAAGGTTTTGTAATACCTAACCATGAACATAAAGTATGTAAGTTAGACAAGTCTCTTTATGGTTTAAAACAGGCACCAAAGCAATGGCATGCTAAATTTGATGGGTTACTTATCTCTAAAGGTTTTAAAATGAATGACAGTGATAAATGCATCTATTCAAGGTCTGAAAGTAATCTGTGCACATTGATATGTCTATATGTTGATGATTTGTTGATATTTGGGTCCAATTTGCATGTTGTGAATGATGTTAAAACTATGCTTTGTGATAACTTTGATATGAAAGACTTAGGTAAGGCAAATGTAATTCTTAGGATCAAGATTACAAAGTCTATGAAAGGTTTCTCTTTAGATCAATCTCACTATATAGAAAAAGTTTTGAAGAAACAACTACTTTGACTGTAAACCTGCATGCACTCCTTATGACTCTAGTGTGAAGTTGTTCAAGAACACTGGTGATAATGTTAGACAACCTGAGTATGCAAGCATTATTGGTAGCCTCCGTTATACTACTGATTGCACTAGACCAAATATAGCCTATACTGTGGGAGTGTTGTGCAGATTTACGAGCAGTCCCAATGATGAGCATTGGTGGGCTGTTGAAAGGGTAATGAGATACCTTAGAAGAACCATTAACCATGGTTTAAACTATGAGAAGTTTCCCGCTGTCCTTGAAGGATATAGCGATGCTGATTGGAACACACTGTCAGAAGACTCCAAAGCCACAAGTGGCTACATCTTTAAGATAGCAGGAGCTGCAGTGTCATGGAAGTCTAAGAAACAGACTATATTAGCTCAGTCTACAATGAAATCAGAAATGATTGCATTAACAACTGCTAGTGAAGAGGCAAAGGTGGGTAAGAGACTTACTCTCCAACATTTCTTTATGGGAAAAACCTATACCAGTTGTTCTCATTCATTGTGATTACACTGTAGCTATTGCAAAGGTTAAGAATCGATATTACAATGGAAAAATCGATATTACAATGGTAAGAGACGTCAAATAAGTCGAAAACATAGCACAATCAAAGGGTTTCTCACTAATGGAGCTGTTAGAGTGGATTATGTAAGGTCCGAGGATAATATTGCTGATTTGACGAAAGGATTAGCTTGTGAAAAAGTTTGGAAAACCTCCAAAGGAATAGGGTTAAAACCCTTGGATAGTTGAGTCACTTGTGGTGGTAACCTAACCAATGGACTGGAGATCCCAAGAAATTGGTTCAAAAGGTAATAACAAGTCATGAAGTGACATCAAGTCATGCTATGTTACTGGAAAATGTTATTTTAATTCTTTACAGAAGCATGACATCTTATAGCGATTGAAATTATGAGTTTATAATACTCTTAATGAGAAGTATACTCATCTATTGAGTGAGACATCTAGCTGTAGAAATGTCATTGATAGTTTCACGTATGTGATGATGAAGGTGAGACCGCCTACTATGAGGTTTAAGGGCAAACTTCTTAGCATTATCACTAAATAAGGATACAAGCACAAGGCCAGAATGTGCTGGCTTCGAACTTCACCCTAGAAGAGTTGTGTGTGCTTTGTTGTCAGAGGTAGAGTTCAAAACCAGGTGTTACTCTTGTTGTTTTGACGCAATGACACTATATACTGGTTCAAGTTGAATAACACCTATGCTTAAGCACAACTTTATAACGTGAATGCTCAATGAACAAGTTTTGTTTTTAATAAACAAGTGGGGGATTGTTGGAACCTTGTGTTTATTTAAAAACTAGTTATAATGTCATTTAAAAATTAACTCTCCTATTTTTATGGATGACCACTTCTTTTCTCTTAAACAGATTTTTTTTTGAAGATAAAAGTAAAGACCTAGTCTTCCTCAACTAGGTGATCACCTCTAGATTTTTTGGCCTGATTCTTAGGCCACATTTTCTTCAACCTCATCAACGTTAACTTTGGGTTTTCTGTATAAATATAAGGACCTCTCTTTAGTTGAAGTATAAGGGACAAAAAGCTGAAAAAAACTGGCTAAAAACACTGAGCATTATGAGCAGTTTGAGGGTGATAGTTTTCGGACTTTCCTCAATACAAAGGAGAGTCTAGACATAAGGATTCTGGGCTATTTTATCCTGGGGACTGCGTGATGTTGCTTGAATTGCTTGCACACATTGGGTAGAGCCGCAAAACGTCTTAAAGAAAGCAACATTATCCGCGACTTAACCCAAGACAGATTTTCATTTTTATGTTCTTCATTCTCTAGTAATATTGTTCTTGTTTTTATTGTGCAACATCATTAACAACCACAATCTTTTATGGCGAGAAATTTGTATTTGGATTCGGTCTTGGAGTCGTGGACTTGCCTAGATTACACTGCAAAAGTTGCTCTTTCATACAAACTTTTGCTTGATTTCAATTTATTGCTTTCCAATTGTTGCTTTAAAAATCAAAATTCTGATTGCAAAGAATCTTGAAGACAGAAAGCGAAGAGAGAGAGAGATGATGGGTATGGGGAGAGAGGATGGAGAAAATGAGTGAATAAATTTAAATCGCGCATGTGAGCGGGAATGAACTCATGTCACACATGATGTCAGAGCATAAGTACAGTACAGTAAAATAGGGTGAGAATTATACCATCAAAGGTAATCGTCTACACCAAGATTTGCCAAGAATCCCGGTCAATACGAAAGTTGAGATGCTAAAACTTGGATGGGCGAACAACAAGGGTAAGTGGGCTTGAAAATAAAGTTTTGATAAAAACCTTTTGAAAACGTTATAACCCCTTATCGTAAAACAAGTATAGTTTTCAAAATATATATACTACGTATAGTATAAAAATGCTTACCGTAATCAGCAATATTTCAAGGATGCCATGCGTCACAACTTTCGTAAATGAGTTCATGACATCTATAATTACATATTTTCTCCTAAATAAATGTATCACATTGCATGCTTATCGACAGATGCTGACGCACGAGTTCATGCAGAGATATTCTGACATGAACATGACTGGTGTAATAATAATATAGGCTCTAGTACTACAATCACGTGAAGACTAGTGCTATGTGCAACACATACGAGTCAGCGTTGCCTATTGCAACCTATATGACAGGACTAGCACCTACAATGGATCCAAAATGAGCGTACGGTGTGATGTGCACATACACGTGAAAGCTTGGTCTTGGCCCGAACGAGTACTAACACCAGTGCAACAAATGATGAATAGATAACATAAATATAATCATGCCACAATGATTCAATAATTCTATTTAACATAATATTATTCATAGCTATAGGTATAATTATGGCATCAATAATCATGCGTATACCTGTGCATCCCATATGACGTAGCATACTTCATAATTTCTATCGATGTGCTAAATCTTATAAACGTCACGCCAATTTAGGCGTATGTAGAAAACTCTTTATGAAATGTATAAATGGAAACTAGCAATTATATATATACTATAAAAAGGAAATGACCCACTCACAGTTACTTGCGATATCATATTCGTTTGGACTAGGAAGGTTGGAGTCTCCGATAATAATCGCACCTAAGCATAATATTGGGACTCATTAGTAAAACTCAATCAAAACGCTTGAATTTGGAGAAACAAATAGCGGATTCAGAATTAGTGCGTCGAAATACACTAGGGAGGGTCCCAGGCAATTTCCGTAAAAAAAGTCAACAAAAAATCAATGGTCAATCAAGACGCCTCGGTGGTCAACTATGTTTAAACTTCGGAATTTCACTAAATGGATGCCACAAACAAACTCGGGGCGTCGAAATTAGCCTAGGAGGGTTATCGAAAAATTTCCGAAAAGCCCAACATAAGGAATATTCCAAAGAATATTGCAAGAATATTCCTAAGAATATTCCAAACACAACTCAGAAATGGGTTTAGGTCGGATTTGGGTTTGGGTCGGATTTGGGTTTGAGGCTTGGGCTGGGTTTTAGGCTAAGTTTGGGGTTCGACCCCCTTTTTTTTTTTGTTTGCTTTCTTCTTCTTCTTCTTCTCCGACCGGTTGCTACTGCAACCACCGGATTTTATGCAGTTCTGACCACACCAAAAACTTAACTAAACCTAGCCTTCCAATATATCAAATTGAAGCTTAGATAACAAGGAATCGAAATGTACCTTTGGTTTCCTCAGCTGTGGCCGGAGTTGGCTTAAAAAAGGCTCGAAAGCCATCAGAAAATTAGAGGAGTTTTTCGTCCTTCGATCCTATAGTCTCCACACCTTATCCAAACAAATACAAAGCCTAAGATCTTCCACAAACATCGAAAAGAAAGGGAAATAGAGTGCTCCTGAGGCCTACCTTGATCGAAAAATTCAAGAACTCGCCGGAGCTCTCTATTATCTATTTCTTCGGTTTTCGTGCGGGCTTGGGGGTTTAGTTCGATTCTTTGGGCTTGGGGAAAGAGATGGAATGAGGTGATAAGTTTGGGTTGTGGTAGTGGTCTGGGTGGTTCGCCGGAGGAAGAGCAGCGATGTAAGTGTTCGGGTTTATGATGCGAGAATTACTTGACACTCAAATTAAACCCTCGTTTGACAATTGTAGTAGAATGGATAAGTGAGGGATCGTTCTAGACCGGGGATTAGGAGGGCTTGCTAAAACCTTCTAAACTGACTTAAAAACGTAAAAACAAAATAAAACACTAAACTAGACTCAAAGAATGTGAAACTAAACGTTAAAACACTAAGACAAACCAAAAGAATCAAAATGCTTTAAAAACACAAACTAAATTGATTTCTAACTATATTGAACATTAAAGCAAAAGGGGGATTGAGGTTTGACGAAAATTGAAATAACGAAACAAGTTAATAACTAGACAGAATGTAAATATGAAATTGATGAAATAAGATGGTTGGTGAATTAGCTAGAGGTTCTTTCTCCACACATGATATTTATGCATATGAATCAATTTCCAGTTATTCCTTCATTGAATTATGAACGACAATGCCCCAAATTAACCGTGACATCACTAGTTAACCCTCAGATTTTCCTTATATTATTGGATTGAATGGCATCATTCGACAACCCAAAACATTCTCAAAAGTTCCCTACATGTCATCATAATAGAGATACAATCGAAGATCATTAAGAATAATGAAAACCATAAGCATTGACAAAGCATTTGCAACTATGACATCATGTTACTCATGCTAAGAATTAAACTTAATGCGATCGTGACAAGCGACCTTCACTACTTTCAAGTATAAGTTAGTAACGATTATGTGAAACCTCCTTAAACTTTAGCCACATACTCATGCATGGTAATTAAGTGTCGACCCTCAATCAACAAACACAAATAAGTTAATCATCAAATAGTTAAGCCAATTGCATTCACGAATCAAGAGTTCATAACCGGAATTCATCAATTCATATTACATAAATAATCATGGTATTGAAATCACCCCTAGCCAAAAAGGGTTTAGTTCCTCATAACTTTGAAATCAAAGAAACACCTAAACATTCCAACAACTCAAACTTGAATTGTATGAACGTTTAGGCACTCTTCTCTTCCATTCCTCATATTACAAAACAAGAGAATTGAATTTAAACATTGAAATCAAAGAAACGCGTAAACATTCCAACAACTCAAACGTGAATTGTATGAACGTTTAGTGATAGGAGCATATTTAGGCGACTTACTTAGCTTGTTTTCGTGCATCTATGTTGTTAATTCATAGTTGTTTTAGTAGTTTAAGCCATTTTCGTGTGTTTTTAGGTTCATATGGCTAAGGAAGCAAAAAGATGCATTTTGGAGCATTTTGGAGCAAAATTGGGCTTGGAATGGATAGCATATGATTGGAGCCAAAGTGTTGGACGAATTTGAAGGCCTTGTATTCATTTTGGACATAAAACAAAGGGCCTAGCCCATTCTC